CAACAGTTTCTCTCTATGTGAACATCCAATTCTGAGGTCGTTCCCAAGTTTCAAAGTGTGCTTTCCCCCCGGGGGTTGCAGTCATGTCTTTGTGCACCAGCTTGTTAGGGGTGGATTTTGAAAAATCCTTTGATAGATGCAGGGTGGGAACAGGAGAGGAAAATCTCTGTGTAGAGCTCAGTGAGGTGCTGGTGTTAGAGCAGGTGTGAGTTTGGCCTCAAAAGAGGGTGAGTGATGAGGAAGCTTCTCCCTTTTTGATAATCCCGCCTGTGAGCAGATGCTTTGTCCCCACTTGTAGCGCACTCTGGTTAAGTATTATTATTTATATTATGTAGTAGCTATACATAGTGTTTTATGGCAGCAAAGATACATAAATCAGCCACCAGAAGACGAGGGCTTTGCTCTAAAGAGCTTATAAATCTAACAGCTTGAGCAGCCCTGGTAATGGACACAGTAAGCAGGCAGTCAAGTTGCATGTAGACATGAGCTAAGATGGGTATCCCAAAGCAGATGGTGGGTTTAGGAGAGATTTGGAAGAGAAGCAACCTGCTCCATCCTCGAGAGCGGATTCTCCTGCTGGAGAATTAGGCAGGCTCTGACCCACATAAGCTTGTCCGGGTGGAGAGGTGAAAATATCCATCAGGGAGAAGCAGCTCACCAAGAGGGGGTGCTGGGGTTTGTGCCAGGGCTGCCTTTTGGGGTCGTCCTGCAGGACAAGGATCCCCCATCCTTGTCCTAAGTGATGTCTTGGCCTCGAGTCTGAGCCTCCTAATGAAAGCAAGTGGCATCATGTTCTAAAAAAACTGAGTCCCTGCCTGGCTCAGAGGTACAGCAAAGTGTTCTAAACCTTAAAAAGCAAGAAAACTGCCGGGGCAGGTACACCTGGCTCTCTGGAGCAAGTGGCACTGCAGAGTCAAGAGTCCCTGCCGTGGTGGCAGAGAAGTGCTGCAACCCTTCAAACCATCTGTCTTTGATCCTGGGTATCAAACCAGGGTTTTTTGTTGGTTTTTTTTTTTTTTTTCAAATTTCTTCCTGTGCTGGCACCGGCCTGGGAGGAACCTGGTCTGGGCTGGAGAGAGATGTGCAGTGTCTGGCTGCTCATGCTGGCTCCGGGTGTCTGCATTCTTCTGGCTGCCTTCAGCTCCTGCACAAATTGAGGCTTCACGCTAAATGCATTACACTGTATAACAATTAATCCCGTGCTACATATAGAAAGTCCTTACTCATCAATAATGCATGTGGGAGGAGTGATTTTCACTCTCAGTAATAAGGCTAAGACAATGGAAACAAGCAGGTAATGGAGAACATTTATAAAGATGTTAATCTAATAATGAGTCTAATGCTGTTAAAAGTAAGACTGCAAACTGGACGCATCCAAAGATAAATTATTTCAAGCATTCATTAACTGATGCCTAATTAATGCCCAATTAGAGGAATGTTACATGGGAAATGGTTTGGACAGTCAGACGAATTCATTCCAATCACTGAAACCTCAGTCAGGAGCAGGAGGCAGCCGAAGGACTCGGCGAGCAGAGGCCGGGGTGACACAGCACGTCAGTGGGAGAGAGGCAGGAGATAAACACCCCTTTGCTGGTTTTATCCGTGTCAGCAGGGATTTGGGTTTGCTCACTTCACCAGCAGGTTCCTGGAGGATTTTTCTGTGCTGCTTTTGAAGCTCTCCCTCCCCGGCGAGCTCCGACATGGGCTGGTGACCCTCCGTGTGCCTCACAACCTTTACAAGATGAAGTTGAAAGGGCTGAGTCAGGAATAACAAGTTAGACAGGGTCAAACTCCCAGGAGAGGTGGGCTGGGGCCTCTCAGGGGGTCTCCCATGGTGTTTTCCAGTCTGGGAAGCCCAGTGAGACCCAAGAGCTCCTGGCTGCCATGCCTCAGTGGGGTTTGGCTGCTGGATATCCCAGTGCTGGTGTTACAGCCTCAGGAGCTTCATGGCTCCATAACCTCTTTGCTTTTTGGGAATCTCATCCCCAGATCTGAACTGGGAGCAGTGCCAGAGCAAGCCAGGAGCAGCTTCTCACAGCACTAAGCAGGCAGCAGGTTTTACAGGCTTGGAAGGGATGAGACCACAGGCCTTGTGTGCATCCACTGGGGAGCCCAGACCTTCATGGAATTACTTTGGGTTGGAAGGGACCCCAAAGAACGTCTAGGGCAGAGATACCTTCCACTAGGACCAAGCTGCTCCAGGCCCCATACAACCTGGCCTTGGACACATTCAGGGATGGGGCAGCCACAATTTTTCTGGGCAGCCTGTGCCAGGGGCTCACCACCCTGGCAAGGAAAATTCCTTCATTATACCTAATGTAAACCTACTCTCTATCCAAATCCTGTTCACCCTTTTTTCCTAAGTATCCATCCTTCTGTTTCCCCATTCTCCTCACTCCCAAGTTGCAATAGGAGGAAAGACATCCCTGTCTTTTCTTCCCACCATCCTATTCTCGGGAAGCTGAGAACAGTAACAACCCCAGCCTATCCTCACTGCCATCCCTGGCTGCAGGAATCCCATCTCTCTCTCCATAGAAGCTCCAGCCATTAACTCAGAGCCGCCTGTTAATTAAAGAGATGAACTCAGTTCCCTCTGACCTTTACCTCCGGAGTTATCCCCGCAGGCAGCGAGCTGTTAAACGCCGCGTTCCCTTTCTGCAGGAACCTCCACCTTGGCCATGCTCCAGGGAGGCCTGGGCTGCCTTGGTCCATCACCATGCATTGCTAACAGCCTCCTGTCATCACCATCCCTACACGTGAAATCCTGTGTGCTCCCAGATCCCTGCCCAGCTCCACCTCCCGTCAGTAATCCCGTTAGCCTGGCAACTGTCGTGTCACGGAAGAGCGCATAAAACTGTTGTTTGGAAGCAATATGTAATCTTCCAACCTGCTGCGTGTAGCTGGGAGATGGTTTATTGATTCAGACCCTTGTGATTTGGTATTTGCAATAACAGACTCTGCATGTGGGAGATCGTCACAGCACTTGTGCCTGGCAGGGTTTTGCTAATAAACATCAGACCTACGAAAGGTGCCGTGCTCCGGTGTCACCGAGGTAAGACGGGGGACGTGGAGCCGTCCCACCTTGGTGGAGCACATCCTCGAGTTGAAAAACCCAGCAGAACGTATCTGCAAACACTGCTTGATCCCTCCCACTGTAGGATAATCACAATATCCTCAGGACACCGCTGTTTCCCGGGCTGTGAGTGGCAGCCAGGGCTCCCGTTTTGGCAGGGAGCTCTGGGTAGTCAGCACGACGCTCCCACCAGCGCAGCCCCTCGCTCATCGTGCAGAGGCACGACAGCAAAGCCAAAATGCTACGGCAGTGACTTGGAGAATGTTCCTTTTCCTACACAGCCGTAGGAGTTGTCGCGAATTCAGCGTTCCCGACTCACCAGCCCTTTTTGGCAGTGGCGCAGGGATGAGACATCCCTCCTGGTAGCCCGTGCTTCGTTTCTGAAGGGCAGTGCCTGGAAGTCATCCCCCTCATTCCCATCCCCAGGCAAGGCTCCATCCCATGCTTTGGGCAGCGATGCTATTTTTTCCCCTATTAACCGCCCAGTCAGCGATGACTGGCTCTTACTGGTGATTTATGGAGAGTCTGAATAACCCAGTTTATCTAAAATATGTGGCAACTTTGCCTTGAAAGGATAGGGTTAGATGGAGGGGTCACCTGCTGTTAACTAAACAGCAATAGATCTCCATACCAGGGAAAAGGCAACAGCAACCACACAGTTATATTTCAAACACAATTAATAAGAAAACAGTGAGGTTTGTGCGCCTCCAACTCGTATTAGGCTGTAGGCTCTGAAAAGAAGGACTGTAAAAGCCCAAGGGGTCCTGGCTCTTGGACTAGCTGGTGATAACGACGTGGAGTAATTAGAGATGAACTCCACTTCCACTCTCGTTTTTCAGATTAGTACAAGCTGAGCAGGACTCGTGGGCAGGATGGCACCGGCAGCTGTGCGCTGCTCCGCTGTTACTCCTTTTCCCTGCAAAGTCCAGAGGCAGAATTCATTAGACATGAGCAAATTTTGCGTGTAAGAGGAAAAAGCCAAATCTAGGAGGAAAATCTGAATGAGAAATGACAAGTCTGGTGCAACGAGTCTGAAAAGCCACTCGGCGCAGAAGGAATGGCCTGAAAGCAAGCCTGGTGCGAGGAGTGGGAGCGAGACGGGAGCGAGTGGGGCGGCGGAACCCGAGCTCTGAGGAGCTGAGCAGAGGGAGGGCACGGTTCTGCCTCGTTCTCTGCTTCTCTGCTGCGAGAAAAACCCCAGTCACAGGCACATTCTGTAGCATTAGAGGATGCAATATGCTTTGCCACAGGACATCCATTTAAAAATATGTCTGAGCATCCCACTTCCAAACGGAGTTTTCGGCTCAGCCTTTTCCACCAACTGCTGACAACATGTTTCCCTGTAAAGCGCTCGGGTTTCGGGGTGGATGGTGGTGTCTAACGACTGTAGTGAAAGGAGACGGTGGGGATGGAAGTGCCTTTGGGGGGAGTGGGATGCCCCGCACACGTGTGATTTTAGGTGCTTCGCTGGGAACTGCTGAATCTCTGCTGATTTCTCTCTCCAACATGTGCAGGCGATTTAACAGATGCATTTCAAGAGGAGTGGGGACACCTGCGAGGGTTTGAATTGCCCCTGTTTGCTCTCACACCGCGGCGTTTCCTTGCCTGCAGGCAAATGGGCTCTGCTGCCTGCTCTGCCAGCGTGAATTCTCACCGAGAAACTTTCTCCTGCCTGTTCCGGGCTGGGAACACAACCAGGCGTGCTTGTTGCAGGCAGGGAGAGGAGGCAGGGAGTACTCCACACATCACGTTTCAGCTGCCGTGGGTGATGAGCCTACTCATCACAGCCGCGTGGGTAATTCATGAGCAGAGAGGAGGGCTGAGCTAATTGGGGGCGTTTTTCACCCGGAATAGTCTCCGGAGCAGCGATGGGTGGGCGGGAGGTGCCCGGTTCCCGCTGACGCCGCTCTCCCCTCTCTCCGCACAGGGGGGTTTGCGGAGCTGCTGCTGGTGCTGCTGGGGCTGAAGGTGCCCGGTGCCCTGGGCTGCCCCACCGACTGCGTGTGCTACCCCTCGCCCATGACCGTCAGCTGCCAGGCTCACAACTTCGTCACCATCCCCGAGGGCATCCCCGAGGACAGCGAGAGGATCTTCCTCCAGAACAACCAGATCACCTTGCTGCTGCGGGGCCACTTCAGCCCTTCCATGGTCACCCTCTGGATCTACTCCAACAACATCACCTTCATCGACCCCAACACCTTCGACGGGTTCATCAACCTGGAAGAGCTGGACCTGGGGGACAACCGCTACCTAAGGGCTTTGGCTGCAGACACTTTCCAAGGGCTGGTGAAACTCCACGCCTTGTATCTGTACAAGTGCGGGCTGAGCTCTCTCCCCAGCGGGATTTTCGGTGGCCTCCACAACCTGCAATACCTTTACCTGCAAGACAACCACATTGAGTTCCTTCAGGACGATATTTTTGTTGACTTGGTTAACCTCAGCCATCTTTTTCTCCATGGAAACAAGCTCTGGAGCCTCCATCAGAACACGTTCAGGGGACTAATAAACCTGGATCGGCTGCTCATCCATCAAAATCAGCTGCAGTGGATTCATAGGCGGGCTTTTCATGACCTCCGAAGATTGACCACCCTTTTCCTGTTCAATAACAGCCTCTCGGAGCTGCAGGGGGACTGCCTGGCCCACCTGGGAGCCCTGGAGTTCCTCAGGCTGAATGGGAACCCGTGGAGCTGCGACTGCAAAGCCCGTTCCCTCTGGGAATGGCTGCACAGGTTCAGAGGCTCCAGCTCCAGCGTCATCTGCGAGTCCCCCGAGCAGATGCACGGCAAGGACCTCAAGGTGCTAAGAGCAGAAGACTTTAGGAACTGTTCAGGGTCCGAGTCGCTCCACCAGATGAAAACACACACCTTCTCCACGGCGGACAGAGGAGCCTCCAAATCCCACCACCCCCACCACTCCTCCAAGGAGAAGGGGAAGGAGCGAGGGGCTGAGAACAGTTTGCACAGCAGCCAGCCCGCCGGCCCGCCGGGCTCCCGGCCGGGCTACCGCAAACCCGGCAAGAACTGCACCAGCCACAAGAGCCGCAACCGAACCTCCAAACCGGTGTCCTTGGGGCCGCGCAAAAACGGGCAGGAGTTCCCGGACTATGTGCCTGACTATCAGCACAAATACAGCTTCGGGGCCGTGCCCACGCTGTCGCCCAGGCGCAAGGGTAAGTGCACCCGGCGGACGCCCATCCGCCCGCCCAGCGGGGTCCAGCAGGCGGCCGGCTGCCCGGGGCTCAGGGCGTCGCTCCTGCTTTTCCTGGTGGTGTTGGCGGCCGTCATCCGCTGAGCCCCGCCGGCCCCGGCCGCGGACGGAGCGGATCTTGTACTGCCACCAATCTACAAAGGACCAGAGTTTCTTTTCTTCTTGTTTTTTTGTACGTGGCTCAGCGTTGGCCTGGCGAAGGGAAGAACGTTGTCTCGGCTTCCTGCGAGGGTTGTCTGCGCGCCCGGCCGGACTGTGCCGAGCGCAGCGGGAGCAGATTAAAAGGCATTATCACACCTTGTCACAAACAGCCTAACCGAGCACCTACGACAATAACAACAAAAAAAAGCCAACCTTACAAAAAGCAGATAACAGGGGTGGTAACCAATTCGTCGGTGACAGCACCCAGACAAATGGACTGTATCCATGCTCTTGTGAAATCCCGTGCGTTTGAGAGCGCTCCAAACGACCCCTCCAATTACCGAAAGGAACATAATTGCTGTAAAAACCATCACCGATTAAGCCTACACTGTTTCTCTCTGAAAGTGAGTGCAAGGACACTGATGCCGATGTAATAAGGACATTTGGTTCTCCCACGTTTTAGCCCTTTTGGCTCCAAACCCAGAGGCCAAAGTTGGCTGGGAATCTCTTAGAAGACAATCTCAAAACCCCTGAATATCTCAGGCATTACAGCAGAACAGGGCTTGCCTGCTGGGCTTGGAGTAGCCGACAACCAAAGGAAAGACTGATTAGAGGTGGAATTAAACAAAAAAAAAACAAAAACCAAACCCCAACAAACCCAACACATAAAGAAATGAGGTACCTGCAGGAGGTGTGTTTTTTGTAACCATGTTCACACATCTGAGAAAAACACCCCAACAATTGCACAGGCTCCCCCTCTTCCCCTCAATTATCCATATGTATGTCTTACAATGTTTATAAACTATATGGAAACTGTATCTTCAGAACTAAGGATTGTATTATTGAATTTATAGCAGACCAGTATATGATTTTTTTTTTTTTCTCCTTGAGAAAACAAACCGGCAGCAGTGCCTACAGATGCTGAAAGCCATCGGGCGGGCTCAGTACACGCGGGGGAACCACAACAGACCAATGTTCTCAGCAATTCAGAGCACTAAACTTTGGGAGGGGTTGGGGGGTGGCGGTGTGCCATGCAGCAAAGTCCATACCCAGAGAGCCAAAATTCACCCTTACATCCTAATTTGTAACTGGCAGGGGGGAGAGAGAGAGAGAGAGAGAGATTAATTAGCCCAAATAAATAGAGCCATAGAGCTCTGTCTCCGGAGAGCACTCGAGGCCCCAGGGAGGACAGGGGCTGGTTTTGGGGCTGGAGGCAGAGAGAGGCTTCCCAGCCGTGGCAGTGGCGTGAGGACCTTTATAGCTGGACTAAGGTTTTCACTGGGGCAGTGAGGAGCAGCTCCCAGGCTGCAGACAGGCCTGACAGAGTCAGGAGGGGTTTTGTTTCTTAAAAGGAACAGATTCTGGAAGAGTCAGAGCAGGGGGAAGCGACAGCTTGCAGAGGACCGGCGAGAAGCGCGGTGCCCGAGGTTCCTGGTCCATGGCAGGAGAGGGAAATCCGCGGTCCAAGAGAGCTGTACAAAGGGAGTTGTGGGGAGGTGGAGGACAGGGAGCAGGGCATCCTGTTCCACTTTTCCTGGGTTGAACCATGTGCTGGAGGGATGTGTTAGCTGGTCGGGGGCATGGCAGAGCCGGCAGCCCCACCGTGGGCTCGGGGAGGTGCTGCCCAGATTCTGCATTTGGTGTGAATTCCCTGTCAGCGTGGATGTGTGAGACCAAACAGACACTGAAGTTAATGAAACAAGGGAAATAAAAGTGATCTTGGACAAGAAAAGGCTTCTGTTCTTTCCATAACCACATTTCAGTGGTGGTGTTTGTGGCTCAGGTGGTGGGGCTGGAAATGCCGAAAAAACCCAGCTGCAATTTTCCATCAAACACACAATTAATTCCAGGAAAGATGGGCCAGCTGGGGAAATGCCCTCCCAACCACTGTGGGGAAGGGGAGAGGGTATTTACACAGTGGCAGATCCCTTGGAGGTATCTGGAAATGGAAAGGGAAACTCCCACTGAAAAGAGAAGTAGAAAATTCCCCGATGCGCTTGTGTTTACGAGCAGCTGGATGCTGAGAGTGGGAAGCTGGAGGGGCACGGCCTCCTCTGTCCATCTTGCAAGCAAGGAAAGCCAGAGGCTTGGATGCTTCTCTTTTAAACACCCTTCTTGGGGAATAGCAAGAGTGATTCTGGGAGGAGGAAGGAAGAGGTTACTTCATCAAGCCCTCTGCCTTCCAGCTCCTACCCAAACTTTTCTGTCTACAGGGCTCTAAAGCTCCACTAAAGGGATGTCCAATGCAGCCAGAACAAATAATCCGTGGTCTGAAATAGCTCCCTCATGTCCTACTCTCTATAACCAATAGCAACTGAATGAGCCTGGCACTGTCCCTCAGAAGTGGAGCATGTTGTTATGTTGGTTATTTCGTTTCATACTCTGGAAATCAAAGCTCTCAGTGGGAGAATGAAGAAAAGAAGCACTTTATTAATTTTTTTTTTAAGTCTGTGTGTAACTCCTGTAATATAGGAGTGAAATGTCAGCACAGGAGATGCTAATGTTTTATAAATGATTTGGGTGCAGCAGGCACGGTGGATAGTCTTTGAGATGAATTATATTAGAACAGACTACGCCTGGCTCAAAACCGTAATTGTATTTTTAGTATCTTTTCCTTTAACATGTAGGAAAAATAAAGGCAACTCCACGGTGTATTACAAGCCTTGTCAATCAAGTGCTCTAACTCCTAGTGATAAAGGCAACTGTTTAAAAACCAGAAGGGAGACATGATACACTGCTAAATAGGAGATGTCTCTTGACATGGCGTTGTGGTTTAACCTGGCAGGCAGCTGAGCACCACAGGGCCGTGCTGGAATGGGGGAGAGGATTGGGAAAAATACAAGTGACATTCATGGCTTGAGAAAAGGCTGGTTTAATAGGACAGAAATGAGAGAAACAATAATAGCAACAATAGAATTGGCATATGCAAACCAAGTGATGCACAACGCTGTTGCTCACCACCTGCTGATGCCCAGTCCCTCAGCAGAGGCCCTCAGTTTATGTACTGACCATGATTCCATTTGGTTTAGGATTTCCCTGTGACCAGTTGGAATCAGCTGTCCCTTCCCAGTTTATTGTGCCCCACAGCATCCTCAGAGGAGCAGAAAAGTCCTTGATTCAGGGCAAACACTGCTGAGCAACAACAAAAAATCCATGTGTTATCAACATTATTCTCATCCCAAACCCAAACCACAGCTCCTAGAAGGAAAATCAACCAACCCAGCCCAAACCAGGACACACAGGCTCCTGACATTCCTCCTGTCTCCTCCTCAGCTGCCATCCCTCCCCATCTCCATCCTTCTTCCACGACCACAGCTCTTTGAGGATAAACTAAATTTTTATGGCATGCTCTGACACTCGGGCTTGATAATGAACTTCCCAGCTGCGTGGTTCAGCTCACCACGGCCCTGGGTTCACACTCGTGTGCCTTCTCCCCAGCTCCTTCCCTACAGCATGTCTTCATGCATTTTGAATGCTGCTCTGAGGCCTGGCAGAAATCCCCTCTGCTCTGCTGCAGCTCTCCAGTGGAGCAGGCTCAGGTGTAACCCTGTCTGCCTGAGATTGTCTGACTGATAAGGTGGGGAAACTTGGGATCTCATTGGAGTTGCCCCCAGGTGCCCAAGGTGTCTGGGAGGGGGAAAGAGATGATCCCCAAAGTGGTGGGAAGCCCCTTGGAGGTGATGCTGGCCTGGAAGGATGGGGTGAGGCCAATGGCATGAGGTTCAACAAGGCCACGAGGCAGGTGCTGCGCAACCCCACACAACCCCTACAGGCCTGGGGCAGTGTCTAGAGAGGTACCCAGTGGGAAAGGACCTGGAGGTGCTGAACACGAGCCCAAATGGGCAAGAAGGCCAAGGGCAGCTGGCCTGGGGTCCCCATCCCTGGAGGGATTTAACAGACCTGTGGATGTGGCACTTGGGGACGTGATTTACTGGTGGCCTTGGCTGTGCTGGGTTAACTGTTGGACTTTATCAGCACAGAGGTACTTTCCAACCTAAATGATTCCATGATTTTACACATTCTGAAGCTTTCCATGCTCCTATCACAAGCTCATCCTTTGGATGTGCCCTGATCCCTTCCCAGGGTGGGGGCAGACAGGCCCTGTTGCCAGGGCAGACACTGCCAGTAGCTCCCCACAGCTCAGCTGTGATCTCCACACACCCCCCTGGGAAAGACATCACCTGAGCCTTTATTTGCTCATCAATTTGCCTTTCCTTGAGTGTTCTCCAGCCTGTGCTGCTCTGGAAGATGAGATCAGTGCCTGCTTTCCCCTTCTTCCCATCAGTGAGCTTTAACACTCTGACTTTGGGCTGCTCATGCAAATCCTTTCCATTAAAAAAAATAAACAGCAGAGAACCCAGAAGAGACCCCAGACTGTGCCTCTGGGAACTCACTCCCAGCGGCAGAATCCCGTTTCCTGAGCCAGAGCCAATTTTCTCTCCTTTGTAGCACTTTTCCACAGTTTCATCCCATAATTGCTAATATGGAGCTTTTCGTACATGCTTTGAAATCAGAAACCACGCAACACTGCATCTCTTTTATCCTCCCAGGCAGGATGAAAAACCAAACACCTCTTGGATACTGAGAATAAATTTTGAGTTTATCAGCCCAAACCAACACCACGAGACCACAGCTTCTCCTGTACTCCTCATCCTTTCCCAGACCACGCTCGTGCCCCCCTGCACCAATCCCAAACTCTTTCCTTTGTCTCAGAAAGTTGCTTTGTGACATGCTCCCCTTCAGAGGGACAGAGCAGAACAAAAGCACCACTTCACATTCCTCCCAGCTAAATAGCACTTTTTTTTTGCAGCCCTTCAAGTTTATCCTTCCCTAAATCCCCTGCCTGTGTATTCTTTCCCTGTCTTAGCTTCAACCACTCCCCCAGGAGCGCTTCCCAAGAGCCCATTTCCCATTACCAAGATTATTTCCCTTTTTATCATTATCTCCTTAAGGTCCTGCTGGTGGGCACCAGCCCCCTGTGCCCCCAGGCCCCCCTTCGCACATCCAGCATCCCCTGAGCTCATCCCTGCTTTGGAGAAACGTGAGATACTGACACCAGCGCTGGTGGGAACAGCGATTCCAGGGATGCTGTTGTGTTCCTGACTGCGTTGGAGTTTGTGGGTTACAGATGGAGGCAAAAGCAGCTCAGAAAGCAGGACACAGGTGCTCACACCCTGCAGTGTGTGTTTTTGGGGGAAGGTGTCACGCTGACGAGCCACAAACATCTCTGCCCAGGAGCAGCACCCCTCCAGGGTCCCCATCCATCTCTGTCCTCCCCTTTCCCAGAGAAGCAGCCCTCAGCAGGGAGAGGGATGTGTCAGCTCAGTGGCCACCTCTCTGGTCCCCACTCAAAGGCAGCAAAATTGGCGAACAACACAAGTCCCTCGTTACCCAGCTCCCTGCTGGAAATTGCTGCTCAGTAAATCCAATTTTTCCCCCCACCCTGTGAACACGGGTGAAATGCTCCCCACTCTGCAGATGCAGCTTTATCTCTCTGCAGGCTCATCCCCACCCTCATCCGAGTCCTTTCTGGAGCTGCCCCTCCATCCTCTTCCTCCTTTGTGAAAACAGAATCAAAATAACTGTTTAACAAATCAGCCATTACCTTCTCTCATGTCACCAATTCCCCGCTATCATTTCGTAATTGGCCAATTTTCTCTTTTACCTTCTCTCTGCTCTGAATACGTCTCGGGGAGCTCTGATTGTGTGTTAAAATATCCTCCCTAATTCACTGCTCAATATCTCTTTCTGCTCTTCTAATTGCCCTTTTAACTTCCTTCTAATTTTTTTATAAATCTCCTAATCCTCCTCCTGCACAGGTTGTTTACATGCACCGGAGAATGTATATGTA